TCATTTGTGCACCTTTATTTTGTGTTCAGCATGGGGACAGGACCCATGGGCAGTAAAAAGCTGCATGGAAGTGTCTGTGTGGGGCCATCATATATGATTTTTAGCTATTTTACTATTCTATAGAAATGTCAAAGGAAAAAAGATTAGGGCATGCAGGCTGACGAATGAGATGTGTCCTTGTGTTCCAAGGTACCATATGCTTCAACGAACATGTAGGCAGGAGATTAAAGTCATTGATCACCTCCTGAGGTAAATTCCTTCACTCCTAGCCAGAGGTGATTGAGTAAGTAGGGGCATGAGAGACTGTCTCATGGAAATTGTAAAATGAGTCATAGACAAGGTTTCTACTATGTCACTTTGAGGACCTGCAGCTGGACTTCATTCAACTGCCACTCCTATGGCTCATCAATATGTTCTCATTATTGTCTGTGTTTTCTGGATGGGTTAAAGCCTTTCCCTTGCCACAAAGCTGATGCCCTCACAATGGCAAAGAAACTGTTAGAACACGTGCTTGTCACTTGGGATGTTCCTTCCACAATCTCCAGTGAACAAGGCACCCACTTCACTGGGCAAATCATATGAACCTTAACGAAAACTTTGCAAACTTCTTGGGATTCTCACTGTCCCCATCACCCTCTGTCATCAGGCAAAGTAAAGAAAACTAATGGAAAAACTGGATTCAAGCAGAAGAAATATTAAATTACATGGGACTACATGAGCTGAGAAAGATGCCCTAATGTTTTATTTTTCCAGATTTAAAGAAACCTTTTCTCTTAATCTATCAGTAATTTGGTAAGAAATACCTTTGTGAACAAAGATGAAACGTTGACTTTTTCTCTCTACCTGATCCCTCCAGAATTCAGAAACTTTCAGTGTGTAATCTTATTTTCACTTGTATAAATAATCAGGTCAAGTTTTTAATATAGAAAAATTAGTTTTATTGTAATTATCTTTGGCAAAAATATTGAGGGTAATCATAGAGAGAAAAATTATGTTTGCACCTTTGTAGATATTAGATTCTAGTCCTGTTAATTGTCTTCAAGGTTTGTTATATACTGTGGATTGGACTCCCCTGGCCTAAGGTATTGCCTTCAGTCTTGCTGACTGTTCGCAGTGCCTTCTTTGGAAAACACAAACTGACTCCACATGACACAGTCACCAGCAGATCAGTGTCTGTTGGTACAAAGTCTCCTGCTGATCCCGTGTTGTCTTATGCGAGTCTGACCAGCTACTGTGAGTCTCTACTGTCTTATGCTCAAGCCCATCATCAACAGGTTAAACACACTTTCCCAGATTCTAATTTAAAGGATTCTATTGGTCACAGTCTAGAGCCTGGTGACTGGGTATTCTGGAAGCATCATCAGAGGAAGACAGCACTAGAGCCTCAATGAAAAGACCTTACCAAGTGCTCCTGACCACCGATACCGCTACAGAGCTAGAAGGCATTGTATTCTATGTGCCCCTATTGGGTACACCTTTGTGTGTGATTACTACAGGGAACCATGGGCTTATGAATGTCTAGACAGCTGGTATATGGCAGGACAATGCCTTTAGGATATCATAATATTCTTATTCAATTTCTTCTTAAAGGGAAAACTCAACCACAGTATCATACATCTAGGCAAGTTTGGAGATCCCCTTTATACACCCCATCACCTCTCCATTGATTACTATTGCCAAAAGCTTTATTCCTTGGATTGATGTTGTCCATAATGACCTGTTGATAAATAATTTATCCCTAACCATAGCTAAACTAGCAAATTCTACTACTTGAGCCTTAGCTCAACAGCAACAATCCCTGCTTCCCTAGTGAGGGTTGTATTAGATAATTTTATGGCTCTGGATTATCTCCTTGCAGAACACCATGGCATCTGTGTCATAGCCAACACCTCCTGCTGTACCTGCATCAACTCTTCTGGTAAAGTTGAGTTAGTACTCAGAAAAATTATAAAAATATCACAGGATGTCTCTGGTTCAATGTCTTTTAATGACACCCTCTGTTTCTCTCTTGAGGTTTTCAGATGGCTTGGAGGAGATCAGGACTTCAAATATTGTTTATGATTATTATCAGAATTTTGCTATATGTATTTGTATTTAATCTTCTTATGCTACTACTCACTCAGATCTGCTCCAAGTTATACTAATGATTATTTTCCTGATTTGCACAATACTTGTCAGCCCCAAGCTACCAAAAATTTGTATTTTTTGATGCTGTGTGTCTATATCTACCTTAGGGACTTGAGATGATGAACCAAACTTGAAACTCCAAACAAAGGACTTGATACTTTTTCCAGATAGAAACTGTGCCTAAGACTCATTTCCTGACCGTTTCCTTACTGCTCAGATGGGGCTAGGGCTTCTGACTGCATTACTCCTACTGATGATTGGGCACCTCCCCTCCCCCGCCATGAGCGACATGACTTCTCTTGAATGAGCCTTCCTGGCAACGAGGGAAATATCAATCTATCACACAGTTGATCCACGATGCTTCCTGCTGAAAGATCTTGATCAGAAGGAGGAATGTGGACAGAGATAACAAAATAGAGTAACATTATCAAGGCTTCTAAAATGGAGCTGGGAGGCCATTAATGAAAGAGGGCCAATGTACACACACCACATCTCTACCCAGAGGGAATGTAACTTTTGAACTGTGCTTCACTTCTATCATCTTGACCTTCTCCCAAGAAATATGCTTACTCTCATAGATAAGAACGTTCTTCCTTAGAGATGGCCTTAGCAACCGATCACACATAGCCAAGAAGTAACAGTTGTTGCAGCACCAATCACAAATCTTGCAAAACAACCTGCGTAATTTATCTCTTTTCGCCTTTATAAACCCTTGCCTCCTTTGTTTTCCTTAGAACACATTTTGGATTTCTGCCTGAATCAGTGTCTCCTGACTCGCAATTGCCCAAATAAATACCTGCCATTTCAATTGTAGTGAATTTTTCCTCATCAATATCTCATAGTTCTAGAGGCTGGAAGTCCCAGATCAAGGTCTGGGAGGGTTGACTTCTGGTGAAGCCTCTCTTCCTGGCTTGCAGAGGGCTGCCTGTTGCTGAGTCCTCACATGGGGGGAGGGGGAGAGAGCAAGTTTGCTTGTGCTTCTTCTTATAAGGATACTAATCCCATCGGATCAGGGCCTCACTCTTATGGCCTCATTTAAACTTAATTACTTCCTGTCTCAAAATATAGTCTATTGGCAGTTGGGGCTTCAGAATATGACTTTTGGGGGGCAAATTCAGTCTATAGCACCCTCCTTCCTCAGGGCTCCAACCACACCATGCACATAACTGAAGTGTAGCCTGAGTCACATTGTGTTTTTAAGTACTATTTATTTTTCTGATTCTAAAAGTAATACATACTTAGAGTATAAAGTGTGGAAAATGCAGAAAGATATAAAGAAAATAAAAATACATAAACACAGAACCTAGAGATAAAGATTATTAAGATGCCAGGGTTTTTTTTTTTTTTTTTTTTTGGTCTTTTCTTCCTGTGTATATACATTAACATATTTTTTTACACAATTTGGATCAAACAACATGAATTTCTTTTTGATAACAGCTTTCTTGAGATGTAATTCACATACCATACAATCCACCCATTTAAAGTGGTGTACAATCCAATGGTGTTTAGTATATCCACAGAGTTGTGCAACCATCACCACAAACAACTTTAGAACATTTTCATCATCTCCAAAAGAAATCTATACTCTTTAGTTGTCAACTCCAGTCCCTCCCATCTCCCCAGCCCTAGGAAACCTTTAATCTACTTTCTGTCTCTGTGGATTTGATTTTTCTGGGCATTTTGTATAAACAGAATCATACAATGTGGTCTTTTGTGACCGACTTCTTTCACTCAGCAGAATTTTCCAGGTTCATCCATGTTGTACAGGACACATTCCTCCTGATACATGATCCATTCCTCTCTCTTTTAAACAGCTGTATTGAGATACCATTCACACGCCATACAATTCATCTGTTTAAAGTCCACAATTCAATTTCTTTTAGTATATTCACGGAGTTGTGCAAGCATTACTATAACCAATTTTAGAATATTTTCATCACCCCAAATTTAATTCCTTTTTATTGCCAAATAATATTCCAATGTATGGCTGTACCACAGTATTTATCCATTCATCAGCTGGTGGACTTTTGCACCTGTGGATATTATGAAGAATGCTGCTATGAACAACTGTGTACAAGCGTTGGTGTGGACATATGCTTTAATTCCTCCAGGAGTGGAACTTCTGGATCGTATATTCAACTCCATGTTTACCCTTTTGAGGACCTGCCAGACAAACCATGTGCTTTTTTAATCCAGATTTTCTCACTTTTTTAACCATATGCATTTTCAAAAGTTCTAAAATGTTCTTTGAACATTTTGCTTTAATGTTTGCGGAGACCCAAATCTTAGTTAAACAATCCCCTGTTACCGGGCATTTAGATTATTTCCAATGTTCATATGATAAACAGCATTTCAGTGAACATCTTTGGGCATCAATCATTTTCTGCATCTCTAGTTATCTCTGTAGAGCAGATGAGTCAGACCGTTGGGTCAAAAGGCACAAGCAGTTTTAAGGGTCTTGGTTCATAATGATAAATTGTCTTCCAAAGAGTTGTGTCAGTTTGTATTCTTACACGTTGAGGTTGGGAATACCACTTGCACTCCACCTTGTATTTTCATTGTCTCCTGAGGTCACCAGGTAGGGACTTTGGGTGTATTTGACCCTGTGCCCAGCTCTGTGTGCAGCACATAGTACAAGTTCATGTTACACAAATGTGTGAGAGCAGAGGAAGAGCCCAGTTAATGCAGGGACCGTGGGGGACAAGGAGGGTACAGGTATTTGAGTCATTGTGAAGGCCAGCTCCGTAGGACTTACCCCTAGTTGACATGGGACTCAGTGCAGACTCAAGTGGTAACTAGGCACCTCAAGTTCCAGAACTCTCCTTGTGTAAGTTGAAGTGGCCAATAGAAGATGAGGAAGCCACATTCCACAGTCATTTAGCGGCGGACGCTGGTGGGGACGGTCTGAAGACTGGCAGCAACTCTTTTTTGTACTCCACTCTGTGGGCTGCAGTCTTTATGCAAAGCCCTGGGAGAATGACCTTCACTGAGCAGTGAGGTTGTCAAATTCTCTGCTCACCTGGACATCCTGAGGAGACACCCAGGACAAGGCAGCACATGGTCACTTTCTGAGAACTTAACTTCGAAGAAGCTCCTTAGTACAGCTTCTCTCCTATGGATGACGTCATTACTCCCCAAACTATTACAATAGAGAAGGGCAGGGGCTCAAGTGGGCTTCTGGGGGCCTGCTCTATTTCTTGATCTGGGGGCTGGTTACATAGGTCTATGCTGTTTGTGAAAATTCACCGGGCTCTGCCCTTAATCCAGGTGCACTTTTCAGCATAAACGTTGTTCCTCAACAAAAAATGAAAACCGAAGAGGTTGGGGGAAGAGAACAAGCACTGAGCCTTTCTCTGCACAGGCCCTTTCCATGGGCTTTGTCATCTCATCCCGTCTCACAGTGACCCTGGCTGGTAGGTACGAGCCCCGTTTCACACAAACACAAGGCTGAGTCCTGGGAAGGGATTTACATGGACTGAAGGATTTCCCTTAAAGTTGAGGATACAATCTGGGTTTGGCAGATTAGACTAATGATAACAGTGAAGGAACAGGAAATAGAACATTGTACCTAGACAAGCGCTGATCTCTGATTCAGAGTCAAGATCCAGTATTGATGGATCAGGATTTGGTCCCAGGCCTCTCTGACTGCAAACCCCATGGGATTTCCATTATACTAAAGCTTCTGATAATAAACATACATTATATTAAATAAGCTGTATTGTTGCAGGACAATTTCATTTATCACTCCATTTGTTTTAGAATGATAAGGTCCAGTGCTGACAGGCATTCTCAGAGCAGAGGGAACACGGTCAAGGCAAGCTCACCTCTGGCTGTGGAGCTGTAGAGACGAGGCAGGTAGAAGGAAACAAGGACGTTCGACACCAGGCGTCCGAAGCTTGAGGGCTGAACTGTGAAAATACATCTCTGGAGAGGCTTTGACTCAAGTCTGGATGGAAATAAACCAGGGTAAGAAAAAGCAGTGATTTGTGACTACATTTTCTTTTAATAATTTGTATTTGAGGATTCTCTCTTTAATGTTTGACTGCCTTGGAAGACAGTGACATATTTTCTACATTAAAAAGGTAAAATAGAGGGCCGGCCCCGTGGCTTAGCGGTTAAGTGCGTGCGCCCTGATGCTGGCGGCCCGGGTTCGGATCCCGGGCGTGCACAGACCCAGCACTTCTCCCGCCATGCTGAGGCCAAGTCCCACATACAGCAACTAGAAGGATGTGCAACTATGACATACAACTATCTACTGGGGCTTTGGGGGAAAAAAATAAATAAATAAAAATTAAAAAAAAAAAAGGTAAAATAGAATGAAAAAGGGTCGTGATCTCCCTCACAGACTCGCAAGGAAATCTTCCAGCACCACGATCCACCTGCAGGCAGGATGGGCTAGAGGGAGGGACTGCCTTGCAAGGGCTGAACCTGCAAATCCAAACATCAGAGAATGGTGAGCATCGTGTCCCCAAGCCAGCAATTCTCTCTCAGCCAGTGAAGAGCCAGACAGGGGTCCAAGGTGGGACTGGGGCGGTACCCCAGTCAGGAGCAGGAGTGGATCCGGAGGGGCGTCATGACCCACAGTCAGGCCTGGGCTGGAACGTGGACTCTGCCACACCATGGATCTGGGCAGGGCGCTCTAGTTCTCTGATCCCCACTTTCTCTCTTTAAATGGTCCCTCTTGAGGCTGTTGGGAGGATCCCATGCAGGGTTTATGAAAAGCTCTTACAGAGAAGTCCAGCAGTTCCAGGGCAGACACTGGACTCTCCTGGACAGACCTGAGAACACCAAAGCAGCCTGCACTTCGCCTGGGATTCCTGGACAGCTAAGAAATCCACACACACACACATTGATAACAGTGGAGCCCAGGAAAGGGGGGTGAGCAGCGTGAAGGGAAGGAGGGATTCCTCATCTCTGGTGACAAGGCCGAGGACAGCCCCACTGTCTCTGCTCAGAAGGTGTCTCCATGGGACAGGATTCCCTGGGTAGGCTTCGGGGCCAAGGAGAGAGGAAGGGAGTGGATGCTGGCTGAGTGCCCACCCAGTGCCGGCTGTGCTGGGGACAAAGGTACAGACACACAAGACACACCCCACCCATAAAGAGCTCACCCAGTGGGGGAGGAGAGGAAAAGGAGCATCATTAAAATGCAGTGTGATAAGTGCAATAGAGAGTGTGCCCCAGCTCCCCCTGGAGTAAAGGTCGGATGTGGGCAGAGCCCCTGAGCTGAGCTCCACAGGTGAGGTGGGCGGAGCTGGGCACTTCAGCAAGAGGAGCAGCAGGAGCAAAGCAGAGGTGAGAACCCGCCCCGTGTGCACGGAGAATCCCAGGCAGCTGGGAGTCAGAGGATGGGTTTCAAGGTGGGAGGGAAGAGGGGGATGGCAGAGCCCAGATCCTGAGGACATGCTGTGAGTGACACACTGGGAAGCTCGGATTTATCCAGAGGGGAGCTGCTGATGGGCTTAGAGGAGGGAAGGACAGGGGCACGTTTCTGGTTTAGGAAGATCACCTGGAAGCAGGTGGGAAGGAAGGGCCAGAGAGGAGAAAGCAGCAGGACCACAGGACTGGGGGAGGGGAAGTGAGAAGGAGGAGCAGGCAGCCTGGGCGCGCTGCAGGAGGTGAGATGGAGGAGGGAAGATGTGGGAAAGAGAGGGAGGGGCGAGCACTGGGCCCCAGCTTCTGAT